TCCTGTGAAAAAGAGCCCCAGGAGCTCAGCTGCACATGCTCATAAGAGGTTCCAGACCTGCTTCTGCGCGGCCCTCCACCGGAAATGCAGTGAGAGATTCAGGCATGCTTCAGCGTGGCCCTTGACTGGAAATGCAGTGAGAAATTCTTGTTGAAGCTCCTGAAAAGACCTCAAAACATGGACACCCAGTGGCCAAGGGCACTTTACTTTGAGTTCTGCCTTTAATTAAATTTAAAGATTTGAATCTCTCTCTTAAGGGAGTAAGACTCTAAAAAGGTATTCAAGCGTGTACTTGGCAAGCATAGGCACTCATAAGTAAATTCAGGTCCAATGTGTCTCTAAGAAATGATTATGTCACTTGACTTGAATGTAAAGCATTGCCCAAAGGCTTCCCATTTGTGATCAATGTTAGGGTTCAAGAGAAGCCCCCAAGAAAGACCAACAGTCATGTATGCAATTTAGCAAGAGCACTTATTTCCAACAGGTTGGGATGGCAAATAGGAACCCCAAAGGGAGGTCGAGAGCTCCTTTTAAGTGGAGTTAGGGGAATTCCAGGAAGGAGGGATTAATCTGGTGCTGATTGGTGGAGGAAAGATTAGTCTGGGAGCTGATTGGTGGAGGAAAGATTAGTCTGGGAGCTGAGTGGTGGAGGAAATAATGGCTAGGGGCCTATTTGTGGGGAGGAGTCTAGTGGTTAGGGGCTTGTTGATGGGGAGGGTAGGAAAAGCTATCTTTAGCTAGCAGAAGGCTGGGGGGCATCTGCTGAGCTAGCAAAAGGCTGAGGGGCACCCACTGATTGGTTGCCCCTAAGTTGTGGTTTTCCTGAGAATTGCTTGCTCTAGTGAACCGAAACTAAGGCCTGGTCTTATTGGTGAAATTATTAAGGCCACTCCACGTAGTTAAAAGGGAGGTTTACTTTGTGGGGTAACTTACAAGTGAAGGGATAGGTAACAGGGTCTGGGAAAGGTGTGTCGCAGTCCGGCGATGTTCTCTAGAGAACTCTGCTCGGTCTACCTCCAGCGTCCAGGGTCCAGGAACCAAGAGAGACTGCACATCTGGATCTTGGGTCTTCAGGGTCCTCTCTCGGCCCCACCTTGTAGGCGTGGGGTTACCGAAGCCTCAATGGGGGTTGGAACTTCCAGATCAAAGCTGGAATGGCTACCCACTACATAGTCTGTGTCAGGGCTGCTGGGGGGGGGGGGGGGCGCCTGTCATGACCCTGGTTTGGCCATCCAGTCCTCTCAATCAAGGGCAGCTTCAATCTTACTTTTACCTATCTCCCTACTACCTATCTACCTACCTATCTATCTTTGTGTATATGTGGTCTGAGGTGCATGTGTATATGCAGACCAGAAGTGAACACTAGGTATCTTCCTTAATTGCTCTCTATTGTATTTTTTTGAGACAGGGTCTCTCACTAGTGAATGTCAGGGATCTGTTTGTCTCTGCCTCCAGCACTGGGGTTACAGATGCATGCTGCTGCACACAGCTTTGTATGTGGGAGCTGAGGATCTGAGCCCAGGTCCTTACCCATGAACCAGGAACTTTACCTGCAGAGCCATCTTTCCAGCCCTAATAATGATGGTGCATGTCTGTGAGGGAAGCAAGGAGCAGGTATTTGGGAGGAGTTAGGAGAGGGAGTGAATATGATCAAAATATATTGTACAAAATTCCCAAGGAATGAATAAAGTTTAGAAAAGAAAACTTAAAAAAGTATAGAAAACTTCTTGTTTTCTAAATGGAAAGAAAAAGAGGCTTAGGAAGACCCTTTTGCACCACACTCCAGAGAGATTAGATAACCAGGGCTTCCACTTAGTGAACAGATGAATCCTTCAATAGAGTCAAGATTTGAAGAGACTATTGGGAAGTGCTTAACTATGGAAAGTGAGGTCTGGTTGGAGGAAGTAAGTTATGAGGGGTGTTCTTGGGGATTAGATCTTGCCTTGGGCTCTTACTGTTGCTGTTCCTGTCTACTTCCTGTTTGGGTGGGAGCTCCACCTCAACCCCTGGCACCCTGGCATCCCTATACCCGAAGAGTCTAGAATGTTTGGAAGGAGTCTAGTGGAAGATCAACCGCAACTCTCCTCCCCATCTCTTTCCCCAAACCTGCCCCTTCAAAGCCCGCCAAACACAGCTCTTCCCCCAGAGAGGCTCAAGACCACTCCCACAGGGTATATAAGTGGCGTCCCAGAAAACAGACACATGGTTCTTTTGGTCTCGTGTCTCCATCTCCTACTGGGCCAGAAAATCGCCCGGGGAGTGTTTTACCCATTAAACCTGGGCTTTCCAATTTGGTCTGATTCGGTTTGTTGCGATGGTGGAGAGAACTTCAGGAGGCCTAAGACTCATCACTTCCCATCAGCCGTGATGTGGTGATGTGAGAACTCTCCATCATACACTCTTGCTGCTTTGATGTTCTGCTCAAGCACGTGAGGTTAAAAACAGTGATGGACGGAAGATTCTGCAAGGCAAAACAAGTCTTCCCTACTTGTGGTTTGACTGGAAAACGTTTGCTATAGGCTCACGTGTCTGAACACTTGGTCCCCAGCTGGTGTCACTAGTTAGGAAGGTTGTAGAACCTGTTGGGGGAGGTAGAGCTTCGCTGGAGGAAGTGAGTCACAGGGCATGGTGGGGTGGGGTTGAGTTGTTAGAACCTAACTCTGCTTCCTGTGTGTGGGTGCAATGTGACCTGCCAGCCATCTGCTTATGTTACCATGCCTTCCCTGCCAGATGTTGTGCCTTTTCCTATGGATTTGTAGTCCCTTCTGGAACTGTGAGCTACAATAAATCCTTTCTTCCTTAGGTCGCTATTGTCAGGATATTTTATCATGGCAGTGAGAAAATAATTCAGACAACCCTTTCAGATGTTCTATGAGATATTTTGTTACTAATACAGAAAGATCTATTTCTGGTAATACAACCTCAAGTCTTTTGGAGGAATAGTTGATATTCAATCTTGCTTTAGTTTTGGGCTGCTATAAAGAAATATCTTTGATAGGAAGATTTACAAAGAATAGAAAAGTACTACTCTGTGTTCTGAAGACTAGGGAGTCAGTACATCTATCATTGCATTTGGGGTCTGCTTAGGGCATGTTAGAGGCGGCACCTTCAATGTATTTTGTGCTGGTGGAAGGACACACGGCCTTTCTCAGGGTTATTTCTTTCCTTCTCATTTTCTTATCAGGTCTTTGAGAATTTTATACAACGTATTTTGACCATAATCACCCCTCTCCAAACTCCTCCCAGATCCCTCTTCACTTCCCTACCCACCCAACTTTGTGTCTTTTAAAGAAATTGTCAAGTACAGTTGGTACTGCCCATATACTCCTGGGTATGTGGCCGTCCACTGGAGCAGGGTCAGCCTAAGGAGCTATACCCTTAAAGAAAACCGACTCCGCCGGGCGGTGGTGGCGCACGCCTTTAATCCCAGCACTTGGGAGGCAGAGCCAGGAGGATCTCTGTGAGTTCGAGGCCAGCCTGGGCTACCAAGTGAGTCCCAGGAAAGGCACAAAGCTACACAGGGAAACCCTGTCTCGAAAAACCAAAAAAAAAAAAAAAAAAAAAAAAAAGAAAACCGACTCCTCACTCTCTGGACAGCTACCAGTTGCTAATAGCTACCAGTCCTCAGCTGGGGGTGGGACTTCTGTCTACCTCAGCTCTTCCATGTGAGATCTCTGTCTGGATTGAGCTTGCACAGGTCTTTCTGGTTCGCGATGTCACGACTGCTATGATTTTACACGTGCCAGTGTCCTGCTGTGTCCAGAGGTCCCTGGTTCTTTGTAGTCAAGGTTGCTTTTATAATGTTACTCATCCCATGCATGAAGGCTGGGCCATCATGATTTAGCCACTTCCTCAGACTCTGCCTTCCAATTCTGTCACCTTGAGGAGAGGCATCCATATCCAGAAGAGAGTAAATCTCACCTCATGGGAGTTCAAAGTCCACTCTCACATTCTCAACAGGTGGTCATGTCACTGTCATTATTGTCACTGTCATGTCACCATCACTCACTCTGTGCAGAAGAGCCTATATACAACTCAAGAAAAGATCGTTTCCAATAAATGCAAGCCAAGGAAGCACGCATCTTTGCCTTAGCACGCAGGCATCGTTTTCTTGTTTGATCCCACAAGACCGTGTTGGGAGGGAGAAGTGCTGCTTTGGAAACAGAGTGATAACGTGAGGCTGTCTCCTCCAAACCTATGCTGTCCTGATGGTTCAGACCCTGGCATCTCCTGCTCCCATGTGGCAGGAGCCTCCTCACTAGTTCCCTTGCTTCTGGTCTTACCCTAGCTGCACCATCCTGACCCAGGAGCCAGAGCTAGGCTTCTTACTATGAAAATGCGATAGTGGTAATTTCTGACTTAAATAACTTACATGGCCCTAGTTTTCACGTGACAATGCCCAAACCACTAAATATAGAGAGCATAGGGTCCCCAATGTCCTTTTTCCTAAGTAAACATGTGGTTTAATTTTCTTTTCTTTTCTTTCTTTCTTTCTTTTTTTTTTTTTGAGACAGAGTCTCTCTACCAAGTCCTGGCTGTGCTGGAACTCACTATGTAGACCTTGAGGTCTCGTCTTGAACTTACAGAGATCCATCTGCCTCTGCCTCCCGAGTGCTGGGATTAAAGGCATGTGCCACCACCGCCCGGCTATACTTATTTTCTTAATGCAGCGCTGGGGGTTGAACCCAGGGCTTCCAGAATGCTAGGTCAACAGTCTACCAACTGAGCTGTATCTCCAGCCCCCATTGTCTCACATTTTGAGATGATTTTCCAGAATGCTAGGCAAGCACTCTGCCAACTGAGTTATATCTACAGTCCGCATTGCCTTTTTTATTTTCATTGTCTAAAAAAAAATAAATACTATTTATCCTTTAAGAGTCAACACAAATAGCACCACTGTCAAACAGCCTTTCTTGATGACTTCGGAAAGGATTAAAAGCTTATTCCACTGTATTTCCACAATAATTCTCCAATCTGTCTGAAAACCTTAAAACACCCAGATTATTGTAACACCGGAAGTTGAGCGGAGATACCTTCTGCACAGGCTGGTGTGGAGTTGATGCTCTGGAGTTCTGATGGCGAGAGCACGCTGCCTGCCTGAGAGAGTCGGTAAACACAAACGCCAGCTTACTTCTGCGATGAGGAAAGTCTTCTTGTTCTTCCCCTCCTGAGAACTGATTTTCCATTTACTTGGGCAAGGATGAACAGAAGGCTGAGAAGAGCCAGGAAAGGACAGATGATTCGAAGAGATTTGAGTGCTGACAGGGACAGCAGAGATAAAAGGGAACAGGCTCAAGGTATGACTCTCTGTAACAGTAGTTCAGGGTCGGAACCAGGGGGGGATAATCTCCGTGGGTTTTCAAAAGCAAGCTGGGGTTCCATTCTGGCCATGTGGCCAGGCAGTATCTGTCTGTCATTGCTTCCAAGAGAGAGGACATGTGAGGTCTCCATGTACAAAGTTCAGAGGGAACACAGGGTCTCACACTCCAACTGTCCCCACATTCTGTTTATTTCCTTTGTCTTTCTCCCTCCAGCCCTTGCGAACCTTCCCATTCAGCCCCAGGGGCCTCCAGGGACCACTCATCCTTCAATTGGTCCCAACTCAAGCACTGGATTACCTTCCACTGAACGCCAGGGAGCCATATGGAAAGGTACTGGCTTCCTTGAGACATCATAGCATCCATTCGTGTGGCCAGATGGGCCACAGTGCTGTTTACCTTTCTAAATGTGGATAAGCTCAGGGGGAGAGTTGATGCTGTGTTCTTCCACCCTTCAGACACACTGGGTCCTGCTCTAGCCCTGAGAAGAAAAGGTCACGGTGGAGGCAGGACCTGATGGAGCCTGGCTGTTCTCATCATCAACAGTTACCTCCCCGGGAAGTTGTGCTTCAATATTCAGCTCTGAAAGTAGACGCTGCTTCACTCCCCAGAGAGCCTGTCTGGTGAGGAGCTGGAGGCCTAGAGTGGCACCTCTTCCCTGGTCTGGAATAATTAGAACAATGGCTCTCTTTTCAGGCAGGTAACCCCCAAAGGAGCAGAGACAGGAAGGGCTCTCATCCTCCCCTTCGGTGGGTCTGAGAACAAACTGGTTCTCTGAGGTGGTCTGGACTAAGTTTGGTCAGGGGAGGGAGAGCTTTTCTTGCAAGAAATGTGGCTTGTAGGGCAAAGCCTTTCTAAGACGAGGGAAGCAACAGTGACCCACGGGCCTGTGAGGAGACTTCGAGCCGCGCTGGCGGACATGGTGTTTACAGCTGTGTTTGGGCATGGGTAGGCGGTGGCTCTGCCTTGGGCTTGTCCTGCCACTGGCACCCCAGGCCTCTACTTCACTCTAGTGTTGGTCTTAGTGGAATGTCCTGATTTACTTTTCTTAGAAATGGCTCAAGTTCCTTCTTACTAAGGGAAGATACAGTTCGATTATTAAAATAGTCAAATGTATCGCTTATCAACGGGGTTGGAAGTCTCTTAGTAGTAGGGCATTTGGAAAAGATGACATTGTACTTTCATTCTAGCTAGCTAAAAGTAGAAAAAAAAGTCATAGTTTCTTGGACATTAGCACTTCAGAAACTGGGATTCAGGCACACACACACACACACACACACACACACACACACGATCTCTCACACATATACCAATACACAAATATACACTCCAACACATACACACAGACAGATATACACACACCAATATGTACACACACATAAACACACACCTACAGACACATAAACATATCACACACACACCAACACATATACACATCAACACATACACAGACATGCACCAACACACGCACACGCACACACACACACACACACACCCAACACACATATATACACACCAACACATACAGACCAACAGGCACTCACACAAAGACAACACACTCACCAACACACACATGCATACACAGACACACATGGACAGATAGTCCACCTCCCCCATACCAAAACACAGACAGGCCCCAGAGCACATTCATGAACTTTTTCATGATTACAGTGACTCCTGTAACTAGGCAATGTCTCACTCATTCATTGGCTGTTTTGAGCATCCCAGCTCCTCACTGGGAACTGAAATACAGCAAGAACTCGGAAGGTGTCTGCCTCCACAGGCGCCCGACAAACACAGTAACAGGCAACGCATGGAAGTCCTTCGTTTCCCTGCAGCACATTTTAACTGGTTTCTGATTCCCTTCCTTTTCTGTTTTGCCATCTTCTGGGTTTGGAGAACGCAGCTGTCTCAGAACAGGTACAAGAAAGGCAATGTGAGGGACGAGCCCCAGCATCGACTTGCGTCCTCCTGACACCTGTGTAAGCCAACAGGCTACCAAGAGCTCCTGTTTCCACAGTCACAGCACGAAGAAGCTGATGTCTCCCCCGTCATGAGGGCTAGTCTGTGGATCCTGTCTGTGGCTGTGCCAGGAACCATCTGGGAGCCTTCTGCGCATGAGCATTCCAGGCTGCCTGTCTAATGTCCACAGGTAAGATAGACCACCGGGGCACAGGCAGCCTGCTGTGCCTCAGGGTGGAATCCTGGCTTCCCTCTGTCGTGTTTACAGAGCTGTCTGCTCAGTCTCCTGTGAGATGAGAATACCAGGCAGTCCTTAGTCACTCGGCAGAAAGTTCTGGTAATTTTCCTCTGGGAGAAAGAGGGCGGACTGCCAGCCTTCGCTTGTGTTCCCTTTGCTGTCCTCTCCACCGTCAGCTGATGAAATAGGGCCTTTGATTTCCTTTTCCATATATTCCCTGACACGGAGGCGCTGGGGAAAGCAGGCTAGAAACTTCCACCACAGCAGGCTGCTGAGAAATATTCACAGGAATAAAAATGTTAGCCCCACTAAGTAACGAGAGCCCAGTCACACTGATATACTAATGTTTATGAAGAAAGATGGTTTGCACATGTATATTTGCACACTTTTCTCCCCAAAGAATTACAGTGGTCAGGAAGGAAAGCGTACTCCCATCCCCCACCATCTTCATTTTCTTGTATGAAAAGCAAGAACATCACTAAGATCTTGGGGGAACAGAAAAGATCTTGGCCCCAGATGTTTCCTCCTCTATAGTTGTAGGGCAGGTTTTCGTAAGTAAGCTAAGACGTCCATCTTTTTAAACAAATAAGCAAGCAAATTTAATCAACCTTTTCTTTATGTGTATGGGTATTTTTCCTACACGTAGGCTTGTGTACCATGTGCATGGCTGGTGCTCAGTGAGGCCAGAAGAGGGTGTCAGATTCCCTGGGACTGGAGGTACTGAGAGGAGCGAGCTGCCATGTGAGTTGGAAATTGAATCCCTGTCCTCTGGAAGAGCTGCTAGCATCCTTCACTGTAGAGTCATCTCTCCAGCCCCATCCATTTTTACATTCCCATTTCAAATGACTGTGAGTGTCATTTGTCTTGGAATACATGATGGTTTAGGATGGCAAGCACACATACCTTGGCTGGGATATTCATCTCCCCAATTCCAGGCTTTGGATTCTGGTGGGCCCATCATCACAGTACCCTGCCCTACTTCTTGCCTCTCTTTCAGGCCACATAGTATTAATTTGATTCACACAAGTTCCCCTTCCCCTGAGCACTGTGATGGTACACAGGAGAGTCTCCAACCTCAGCTGGATCAATGTTTATCTCCAGCTGGGGTTCTGAGACAAAATCTTGCATTTTTGGGTCTTAGAGCAAAAAGCAAACTAACCAAAGATCTACTCCTCCACTGTATGGATACGGTCTTTGTGTACCAAGAAGAGAACAGAGGCGTGAGTGAACAGAGGAGCAGACTCCCATCCTTTGGTGAGTTTTGGGGCAGCTGACAAGTCAACCAGAAAGTCCCCATGTCTCTGAGAAGGTCTTCCCCATAACAGCTTCCTGTTTTAATATAACACTATAAACCAGAGAGGGAAAAAATGGCTCCCTTAGAGAATTTTAAATCAGCTTTATTTAAGTATATTTTTAAGAAAGTAAAATGCTTTCATCCTAGGTGTAGAGTTAAATGGACCTTGACACACATCCGCTCATGTAACCATCACATAAATTATGATACAGTGCCTTTCACCTCCCCACCAAATTCCCTCATGTTCCTTCCCACGTTACAGTTTGCTGGAGTTCAACTCCATGCAACTATCAATCCTTTTGTTGTCATAGATTCGATTTTTCTTCCACTACTAATAGATATAAATGGTGTGGTGGTTTGAATAAGGATGGCTCCCATAGGCTCATCTAGTCACAAGGGAGTGGGTACCATGTGAAAAGATTAGAAGGATTAGGAGGCGTGGCTGTGTTGGAGCAACTGTGTCTCTGTGGGTGAGCTTTGCCCCAGGCTTAGTCTCTCTCTTTCTGCCTACAGATGCAGAAGTCTTGGCTACTTCTCCAGCACCATGTCTGCCTGTGTGCCAACATGCCCCCTGCCATGATGATAAGGGACTAACTTCTGAAACTGTAAGCAAGTTCACAATGAAATGTTTTCTTTTATAAGAGTTGCCTTGGTCATGTGTCTCTTCACAGCAATAGATCAGTGACTAAGACGGAATGGAATTATTCAATTTGTGCCTTTCCCCCTCTGGCTTCTTTTGCTACATATAATGTTTTTGAGACTTACCCAGAATATTCTGTATCTGTGTCTCATCCCTTTCTATGGCGGGGTAGTAGTCTGTTGTGTGAATATATTTTAATGAGTGTGTGCATTCTCTCACCAGAAGACTTTGGGTTGTCCCAAATGAAGCTGCTATGAACATTTCTGTCCTTTTGGATGTTTATTTTCATTTTTCTTAGCTCTTGATTTAAAAACCTCAAGTTCAAGGTTTTCTGCTCAGGAGTAGAATTGCTGGGTAAGTATTTGTTCAGTTGAAAATGCTGAACAATTTTTCCAGATGATGGCTCCACCACTGTTGGGCCTGGTGGTTTCTCCTAGCAATGTGGGACAGATTCACTACCAACTCTTCTAAGTCTAGCTACTTTACAGGATGTGTACTTTTATCTTTTTATGATCTTATCTCAGATATTCTGGATCTCAGATATTGTTAGACAACTATATTTATTCCAGACTGTCAATCTGTATAAATTCTTTGTGTGTGTCTGTCTGCAGGTGTGTGTGTGTAGCAGGAATCTTAAAAAGTTCTTATTAATAAAATCAAACCTGAGGCCAGTTATGGGGTGAAATGCTGGAAGATCAGAGAGACAGAACAAGTCACAGCTTCCTCACCTGGCCAATTCCTCAGGTGATCCTGTTTCCTCAGACTGGAAGCCTCTCAGTCCTCATCCAGAATGAATCTCAGCTGAACTGCTGCTCGAAAGCCTGAAAGCTTAACCAGCCAAATGCTTAGCCAGGCCAAATGCTTCTAGTTCCTGGTCCTTATGCCTTATATATCTTTCTTCCTTCTAACATCACTCCCTGGGATTAAAGGCATGTGTCACCATGCCTGGCTGTTTCCAATGTGGCCTTGAACTCACAGAGATCCCAGATGGATTTCTGCCTCTGGAATGCTAGGATTAAAGGCGTAAGTGCCAACATTTTCTAGCCTAAGTATCTAGTGGCTTTTCTGTTCTCTGACCCCAGATAAGTTTATTAGGGTACACAATATTTTGGGGAACACAATACCACCACGTATGTGTGTGTGTGTGTGTGTGTGTGTGTGTGTGTGCATGTGTGTGCGCGCACGCGCACATATGTGTATTTATGTCTTACCTTCTTTTTTGAGACAGTGTTTCTCACTGGCCTAGAGTTTCCCAAGTAGGCTAGGCTGGCCAGCTGGTGAGCTCTTAGGGACCTTTCTGTCTCCTCCTTCCCAGAGTGGTGATTATAAATGCATATCACCATGTCTGAGAACTCATCTTTTAGGTTTTCAAAAATTTTTTATTTTTGAGATAAGATATTACTATGTGGTTTTGTTTGTCCTGAAACTTAGTATGTAGACCACACAGGCCTTGAACTCACAGGGATCTGCCTGCCCCTACCTCCAGAGTGTTGGGATTAAAGCGTGCATTACTATGCCTGGTAGAACTCATATTTTCAATGTAAGTCCTTGGGGGTCAAACTCATGTTCTTGTGTTTGTATGGCAAGCAATTCACTGGCTGTATTCTCTCCCCAGCTCCTATATAAGTTCTTTTGCAAGACATCCATTCAAATCTTGCAGTCATTTAGAAAATCAGCTTATCTTGTTACAATTAATTAGTCTATTTTTAAAAGTGTATTTTCTGTGTATGAGTTTTTTTTTGTATGATATACCCAAAGAAAGGGATTGAACACTGATACCTCTCAAAGAAAATAAATTAAAAATGGTAGGAAATACAATTTATAACTTTCATTTATAGTTAGTGACTTTGTGCTTTGTTCAAGAAATATTTGCTTATCCTCAACTCACAAAATATTCTCCAGTGCTGAGGGTATGTCTCAGTGGTAGAATAGTTTCTCCTCAGAGGTGTGAATCTCTGCAGTACCACATAACTTCTTTTATATTTAAATGTTTATTGTTGTTGAAGGGATCTATTTGATGACCCCTTTGTTCACAATTCACTCCGAGTTAGAACTTTTTCATTCTCTGGAGGGAGGTAGAAGCCTATTGTAACATGTCTTCTTTTTCCCTCTGTATAGTCTTGCCATATGTATTAGAATCACGCATATTTAAAAACATATTATAGCTGGATCTGGTAGTGAACACCTATAATTCCAGCACAGGGGGATCACAAAATATGTATCACTGGAGTCTCCAACTCTAGTCAACCTTCCCCCAAGATATTTACAAAGATAGGAGGGTAGTGAGTTCAAGACCATCCTTGGCTACTTAGCAAAACCTTGCCTCCAAAACCAAGCCCAACCCCCAACCCCTAAAACTCACATTCCATACTTATGTAGTAGTATCTCTTTTTTTTTTTTTTTTACTTCTATGATAAAATAGCCTGACAGAACCTACTTAAGGGAGAAAGGATGGATTTGAGCTCACAGTTCCAGAGAGACAGTCTGGAACTGTGAGCTCATGGCCTGGAGGGCATGTCGAGAGGAGTGTAGGGCTGCTTGGCAGTCAGGAAACAGAGTCGGAATGTGAAGTGGGGCCAGTCTCCAAAACCTGAAAGGCCCCCCCCGGTGACACGCTTCCTCCAGCCAAGCTCTGTAATCTTCCCAGACAGTGCCACCATCTAGAACCAAGTGTTCAAACATGAGGTTTTGGGGACATTCTACATCCAAACCACACTTTTATTGCATTTCCTTTCAACTTCCATACACATTCCAAAGAACCTAACAATCATTTTCTAGACGGTTTCCCAATCTTGTTGCTCTCTTTTCCTTCCTATAGGTTCAGGATGCTCTCTGGAGACATTTCCTACCCATTTGAAGTTCTTTCTTTAAGAATTCTTTAGGCCAGATCTACCTGATAAGTTCTCTTGGCCATTTATCTGTTAACACCTTCCACATTATTTCTGAAGGACTCTTTGATGAAATGTACATCTGTGCTGACCAGTTCTTTTTTTTTTTTCCCAGCATTTAAAATGTTGTTTCATCACCCCTAGATCTGTTGAGGAATCTGCAGTCACATGCAACCATAGATTTCTATTGTAGTAGGGCTATTTCCTCCAGGCTTGACACGACCATTGGCCATCATGAGGCAGAATGGTTGTGCTGGCTGGCAGAAGACCTTAGCCCTTAGTCAAGGCAATAAAGGAAATGGGTCAATATCCTTATAGCTAGGTCTGTGGCAGGGGTCCTGCTGCAAAGAATATTCCCTGACAGAGATGGGAAGGTCGCTAGATCCTCTCTAGACATTGCAATCAGCACTCCCCCTTGTGCCCTGGCTGTACATACATGGTCTTGGGATGTGCTAGAATATATAAGATGTGGAGATTGACTGGGCTGGGAATTCCAGTGCCCTGTCTTTTGTGAGGCATCATGCATGCTGAGGGGACTTTTCAGTGGTGTAGCTACCTTTGAGTCACTCATCACCCTACAAGTAACTCCTCACTCATATTCGTGTATATAGGTAACCCCTCACCATGCTGTAGATAACCCCAATTAACTCCTTTTCTCATTAGGCTGTACTTGGATGAATAATTTCTTTGATCTGTCATTGCTTTATCTGAAGAGAATAGACATTTCTTTACAGTTTTTTTTTGGGGAGGAGGTCACAGAACAATTTAGTTTGGGTATATCTTCTTTGGATTTTAGTAATCTCTCAGAAAATTTATGCCTTTTACCAAATTTGAGAAAACTTAAGGTATTATTTTCTCAAAATTTTACCTCTGAACCATACTTTAATCTTCTCTTTTTCTGGGACTTATATGATATGAAGGTTAGATCTCCTGTTATTATCTCATAGGCCTCCCAAGGCTTTGCTTGTTTTTGAGATGGGGTTTCATTATGTAGACAAGGCAACCCTCAAACTTATAATTTTCCAACCTTCACCTTCCCAGTGGTGGGATTACAGAAGTATGCCATTATGTCCAGCAGCTTCTCTACTTAAAAATATTTGTGAGTTTGAGGCCAGCCTGGTCTGCAGAGGGAATTCCAGGACAGCTAGGGCTACATGGAAAAACCCTGTCTCAAAAAAAAATATTGTTTCTCAGCTGGGTGTTAGTGGTACATGCCTTTAATCCCAGCACTTGGAAAGCAGAGGCAGATGGATCTCTGAGTTCGAGGCCAGCCTGGTCTACATAGAGAGTTCCAGGGCAGCCAAGGCTACACAGAGAAACCCTGTCTCAAAAACCAAAACAAAACAAACAAAAAAATCCCAAATTCTTTCTGTTGATAATGGATACTTTCTGTTAAACTATTTTCAAATCACTGAAACCATCCATTGAGTGCTACATTTTGACATTAAGCCCATTCAGTGAAGAGTTTAATTCAACAATTATATTTTTTAGTTCTTTGCTCTTGGTTCTGTTTTATATCTTCTATTTCTCTATTGGGGCTCTCTATTTTTCCATTCACTGTAAGAGCAGTTGTTCCACTTCTTAGAGCATACTTTTATAGCCACTATAAAGTCTGTGATAAATGACCCATTATCTGTGTCATTTGGGGACTGATAACTTGCTTCCTTTCATTATCCCTTTTGAGACGTTGTGTTATTCCTTCTCTGTAGTACTGGAGGACTTGTAAGATTTTTATCTTGGAACACTTTGAATAATATAGGACTTTGGGTCTCTCATAGGTAATGTTACTTATTTATTTATTTTTCTATGAATCAACTTGCTTAGGTGGGATCTGCCAGCTCCTTGTATCACTCTTTGGAGATGTGTACACTTCCTTTTTTGGCTGTGTATGCTGAGGATCTAACCCAGAGCCACACCCTTGCTGGGCAGACAGTCTCCTAAGGAGCTCTCCTCTCCTCCATGACTTCAGAATATGACTTCCTTGAGCTCCTGCTGTCTGTGATTTCTGCTATTGAGGATCCTTTCTCCTCTTGAGGCCCACACCAGAGAGCTGGGGATTGTTAGTCCACTCGCTCACTCCTCATTATTGTCTGTTTGTCAGTGGCCAAATGGTTAAAGGATGGAGAGGGAAAGAGCAAGTGAGATGCACTTTTCCATCCCTCTGGGGAACCACATTCCTCTGGTCAGAGAGTGGGGGTTCCCTTCCTACAGAGTGCTAGGAGCTGCCTGGTGCTCCGAGTGCTTGTTAACGCCCTGGGTGTGTACGTTCGGCCTTGGGGAAACTCGAGGAAAAATGTGATACTTACCGCCACTTCAGTGACACTGAATTCTCTGTCCCTTCCCCTCTCTGCTTTCCAGCATCTTCAGGAAGGTGCTTCATACATTCTTTCTGTCCCACTTCTGTTCACAAGAGCAAGGCAGGGGGAAGAACTCTTACTCCATCTGAACTGTAGCAACGATCTTTTGTTATTTTGATCAGGAAAAAAAAAATTGTGATTCTAAGGTGTTTGTCCCAGTTGGAGACTAATGGAAGAATCTGAAATTAAAAGTCCCACTCCCACTGCTTGGAACCTTCGGCTCTTGTACTTTTAATTACTGAAAGTAAAAATTAACCAGCATGTATTTACTTGACGAATATTTACCGAACATATATGCATGTAGCTATGTTGTACATACTGAAGGCAAAATACAAGATTATTGTCCAGACTGGTTTATCTAAACTAAAATTTGGTAGAGAGTTTCAGCACACACATGGGGTGGAGGAGGAGAAAAACACACACACAAAGCATATCATTGTGGCTAGGGAGATAGCTCAGCAGGTAAGGCACGTGCCACCAAGATTGATGACTTGAGTTCTATTCCTGGGACCCACATGGTAGGAGAGAACTGGCTCCTGCAAGCTGTCCTCTGACCTCTGTATGCATGTTATAGCACAATGTACATGCATATACATACAATAAACAAACAAACAAACAAATAAATAAATGTAGTAAAAAAAATATCATTTGCTTGATCCCCGAAGGGCAAAGGCTATTTTGTTTTCACATGATATCAGACCATCTTGGAATAACAACCTTTATGCCTTTAAGCAGTAAAGAATGCTCATGGTGTAAAAGGCAACTAGAAGAGATAATCTAGGAGGTGAGAGAAAAAGAGATAAATTGAGATAACCAGAGGGGGAAGAAATAATAAAAGTAACCTAGGCACTAATGATGGGTATGATGTTGGGAGAGAAAAGAAAGATTCATGAAAAGGGGAAAAAAATCTTTCACCTGGAAAGTCACAATTTGGCTATTTAACGTCTATCGATAGCTTTCTCTTTCCCAGGTTTTCGTATAGTGAGAGAGAAAGGAGAGAAAGTCTCTGGAGAAACTGGAAACTGTAAGACATACATTTTATTATACTTTTCCTCACGGTTTTCTTGTAGCTGAGATTTAGTATGGGGTTTTCTTCTTCCTTCTGTCTTTCTACGGAGGTGTAACCCAGGCTAGGCAGGGACTCTCCTTGTTACCCAGTTCACGGTAAAGCACGGTGGGCATCATCAGGTGAGTGGGCTGTGCTCTATCTCACAGTGGGGAGAGGAGGCTGCCATGCTGTAACTGCTTCTGGGCAGTGGGCACAGCTGTTTCAAGCAGAGTCCTGCTCCCTCCCAGGCTAACTCCCCTCGCCATGTCTGGTAAATGGAATATATTCGAAAAACTGATAGACACTTACGACACATCGATTGGGAGAATTATATTCCTCTTGCCATCAGGACTTTAACCCCTCTCGCTGCTAACGCATAACGTTAGCATTATTTTTCCCAAGAGGGCTGCCTCTTGTTCCTCATTTCTTGGCAAGAGCCTCCAACAAGCTGCAAATGGCCGACTAAGCAACTGAGGTCAATCTTATGCAGATGAATCCTACCTTGATAGATGAGGACACAGGCTCAGTTAATACAGTGAAGAATCTTTAAATTTGGACACATATATATAAACAGTTTAAGGAGGTTGGTGAGCCAGTTCCTTTAGGATAGTAAAAATGTACTTTGACAGTAAATCCTACTGTTTAGATTTATTCCCTTCATAAATATGTTGAAGTAAAATTGGTCATATAAGGGAGAGGGGGCAATCTTGATGCTATTGCAGCTACATGAGCCCCCACTTATTAACCGTGCTCCCCTTTTTCTGGTGGCCACAGCAGATGCTGTGGGGTCTAAAGTCATCCAAATTATTGTGATATTGTGTTCCCAAACTTTGAAAACAGTAAAGGTTGAAAACTTGCTTTTTAGAGTTAACAAGCGACCATTTTTTTTTTTTTTTTTCCGGTCCATTAGGATCCAGGAGAGGGAACACAGAGAGACTCTTCTCTCATTGGCCACTTCTCCATTAGCTTGGCCTGCAGGAGTACCGCATCCCTTTCTAACGATCAGCTGCGGTGGCAGGTGGGATCATTTACGAAGTAATATGCAGTCCTTCTCCGTCTGTGACACTTTAATTTTAGCAGCTACAGTCCTTGTCATTCCTTAGAGGTAACTATAGCAACGGACAATTCTGACAGGCCTGAGCCTACCATTATTAGAGATGAGACAGTCTTGTCAACTACATTTAATTGGGACTTGTTGGGGGCCGGGGTGGGGGGGATTCATAAAGCATATGATGCTAGCATTTCCAGGGTGCAAATAAAGATATTTTGGGTGTGGAAAAAACCCGGACTTCATCTTAACTCTGTTGCATTTGCTCAAGAGGGACGGCTAGGGTCAGAGAAATGTGAACAGGGACACATTGGTCCAGCTGGTCTTTCTCTTGGGGACAGCAAGCTCGTCCCTGTTTCTACGGGTGAAATACGCACAGTGGCTGATTTGTTTCTTGTCGCTCTTGGAGAGAACGCATCCCAGAGGAAAGGTTAAGCAGTCACAGTATCTGGACAGTCCTCACGGTGCCTTTTTTTTTTTTAACCCTTCCCAAGGAGAAATGTGCAGTTGTGTTTCTTCAGAGTGATTATTTTGACTCTGTTTAATTGTATGCTGTCATGCCAGATATTCTTGGGCAGGGAATAGGGCTTTAGAGAGCAGTGCATCCTGGGTATATTTAGTATCATGCTTGGTTTAAGACAAAAGTTTATGGTGCTACCTGTTGTAAAAAGGTTATGAGGCACTCAGGAGGAAAATTTGATGGATTCAAGGTTGGAAAGCGTTTGCTGAATGCTCATATGTGTCTCTAATAGTGTTGGGTATGTTCACATTTATTTCCCACTTTAATAATCTAATGTCTTTAATTAAAAAAATAATTTATGTAAAAAGTTTTAAAATTATTTTTTATTTTATAGGTATGGGTGTTTTGCCTGCATGTATGTCTGTGTACCACATGCATGTTTGGTGCCCTCAGAGGCCAGAAGAAGGCATCAGATCCCTCTAAAACCAGAGTTACGGGTGGTTGTTAGTTACCAGGTAGGTGCTAGGAACCCAGGTTCTGTGGAAGAGCATCCAATGCTCTTAACTACTGAGCCCCCTATCTCTGGCCTGCCAAGAATCTAGTGTCTTTCTTTACAAAGGTCAGAAGAACTCTTGCCATTAGATTTATAGGTGGATGATATACATAAATCTAAGTATTTCAGTACATATATAAATATATAAATATGTACTAAAATATAGTACATGTTTCTTGATTCAGGGAGATAATTAACAAAGAATAAAAATGACTCCATTTCATTGAAAATGAGCAGAACTTGATAATGAAGAAGAAAACAGAGACAGAGGCCAGTTGATGTGTTCGGATGAACTTGTAGAGTTAACTTGGGCTGTCTCCTCCAACTCTGAATTTGTCTTCCAGGAATAGCTTCCTATTTGCTTACGGGACAGAGAGAATCACGGTCAGCCCTGATAGTTCCTTCTGCAAAGAAGAATTTGCTTCCTGGTGATTGAGCTTCCCTCGCCTGAGCTGCTGGGCAGGGATGCTCAGATGCCAGTGACTAATTAAGATTCTGGACTCCAGGCTGTGCTCATCTGACTGTAAGCCCCGAGGCTACCTAGTTTCCTTGGGGCTCGGACCTGAGTCAGAAGCAACAAGGCATTGGGAAATATCCTTCATTCCTTCTGACCTTCCTGTAGAAACTTCCAGCAACTTCCCTGAAAATGAAGGATGTTAGGTTTGCAACAGGAAGAGTCAGAATCGGAATCCCAGTTCCCACACTCTCCCTGTGGCCTTGGAAGGTTCCGTCTCCTCTTCTGACCTCTCACTGGATATTGAGGTCCATTTAAACATAAAATGAAATAGAGTAAGTATAAGGTTTCTGTAAACATTCAAACATGTTTGCCCAACTCACTACTCGGAAAAACTAAGACAACACGAGGCTGAAGTCAGGAAAGGAAAAAGGGTCCAGATGGTGGGTTGTGGAGAAGGAATGCATTTCTGGACAACACACAACAGAACTGAGCCCTGTTTCTACTTGTGCCATGTGTGAGGTTGGATGAAGAGTTCTGGAGGAAGGATCACAGCCCAGCTGATGCCGTTTGATAGCGTGGGCTCGGTGGCATCATGAGTAGGATGATACTACTCAAAGATCTGACTTTTTTTGGAGCACATACCGTTTTTAGAAATCATTTTATTATTTCATATTTTTGAAAATTTCATACGTGGGTACAATGTATCTTGATCATATTCACCCCCCCACTCCTTCCCTCCAGCTTTTCCCATCCCCCAACGTATCTCCCGTATCCCCCACCAATTTCATGTCTTTTTAAGAATAACCGGCTAATCCACGTGGATCTGCCCATATGTGTGCGAATGTACAATATGCATTTAGTAGGCCCAGTGCAAAATACTTGTGTAAAGTTCTCTTGTTAGTCCCAACAAATGTATGCAGAGCAGCTCTTGGACTCTCTACTCTGCACGTGCGTGAGGACATTCAATAGATACGTGTTAGTTGAGCGGGTGATTGACAGTAATCTCAGTGCAAATTTGCTTGCTGTCACTTAAGATTAGAATTAGAGTCTTTCAAATGTTTCTAAATAGTTTGACTTTATTGGTAGTCACGTTATATAGGTTGTTAAAAATATTTAGAACCGTTGTCTAAGTTGTAGCCTCTGGTCCCAAACTGACACTGACCCATAGAGCCATATTTTGGAAAAGTGACTTTATAATAAATGCTGTCAAGTCATATTTTCCAAATATGAATAGATTATACCTAGGACATCAGTGAGAAGCAAGCCAGAACTGTCAGATGGATGGGTCCTTAGAAGAATTCTGGGCACATGGTAAGGCTCCAAACTGTTTGCTGAATGACAGATAACGTGGATGACTCTTGTGTTTTATGCGTTTATGTCAATGGTTCCTAAGGGTTGGAGTGCCCAGAGGACTCTTTCTGGAGAAAGTGGGCAGAAGGCAGGGCTCCAGAGCATGGTAGGAGGCTGATGATGATAGAGAGCATGGACAGTGGAAGAGCGTGAGATCTTAGACGGCATCTGACTCTGCCTGCCCAGTGTCTCCTCTCCTTTCACAGGACTCAACTTACTTTATGACTGCCAATCAAGAAACCCCATCTTCCCTGAATAAGATATAAATGACTGATACATCTTTACTCTGGTAAAAAGCTCTCACTCCTGGAAAAGTGGGTCTTATTTGGAGCAATTTAGAAGGTGGTGGCTGAATTGATAAACCCTAAGAACAGGGCCTCACGTGGGCTATCTTTGGTTCCTGCTAGCTGGATCATTACAGTTTCCCTGATTGCCATTTTTTTCTCCCCCGCATTTGAGCCTTCTGCTTTTCCTTTAAAATTTGTTCTTTTAAAGAATTTTGTAATTTTATCTATGTGTGTGTGGGCATGTGTGCATGCATTCATATGTGTGTGGGTGTCCATGGAGGCCAGAAGAGGATGCTGGAACCCCTGGTGCTGTAGTCACAGGTAAGATTGTGAGCCACTGATGTGGGTGCTGGGAACTGACTTAGTACCTCTGCAAGAGCAGCAAGCATGCTTAACCACTAAGGCATTTCTCCAGCCCTGCTTCTGCTTTTTAAAATGTGGCTGTTATTTTAATATTTTCTCCTTTTAACTTCAGATAGCCAAAGTCCATTTCTGTTGCCTACAACATAGCTACCCCGAGTGGCCTAGGCTGTCTCCAGCTTCCCTTCCTAGTCTTTTGAATATGCTGCTAGTCAGTAGATGTGGTGGTTTGAATGAGAATGTCCCTGTCTAGGCCAATGTTCTATTGCTGAGAAGAGACACCATGATACAGCAACTCTTGTAAAAGAAAGCGTTTCATTGGTGATTGCCTACCTTTTTAGAGGTTCAGTGCGTTGTCATAATGGTGGGGAGCAAGCATGGCAGTATGCAGGCAGACATGGTGCTAGAGAAGCTGAGAGCTCTACATCTGGATCCAGAGGCAGCAGGGAGAACCACTAGACCAAGTCTGGGCTTTGAAACCTCAAAGCCTACACACAGTGACACACTTCATCCTACAAGGCCACACCTCCTAGTCATGCTCAAGCATTCCACTCCCTGATGACCAGGCATTCAAATCTATGAGCCTGTTGGGGCCATTCTTAGGCAGTTCATCACAGTCCCCCCCCCCCCCCCATGGGCTCAGATGTTTAAATATTTGGTCCCTCATTGATGGCACTGTTTGATTAGGTTTAGGAAGTATGTCACTGGGGGTGGGCTCTGAGGTTCTGAAGCTCTCTCTGCTTCATACTTATGGTTGGAACTGTGAACTCTCTGTTGTTCCTGCTACCACGACTGCTACCTGCCGCCATGATTTCCTGTCATGAGGACGCTCATCCACCAGGAACTGTAAGCCCAAATGTACTCTTTGTTCTGTAGACTTCCTTGGCCATGTTTTATCGTGACAACAGAAAAGTAACTAATACTCAGACAAATACTGAATGCTCTTAAGAGTAGAGTCTGATGTACTTTTCTTATGAGCAGACCATGTTTTTTCACTACCTGAGTCATAGATTGAGATTTCAAAAATCAGTGGGGTTTCTCTATGACTCAATTTCCCCTTTTCACCTATGACTCCCCAGAAGGTTTTACTCCAGAGACTGCTATGAAGATCCACAGTCAATAACAATTCCCTCAGATTCTTGACAATGAAGATATAGTCTGATTTAAAAAAAAAAGTGAATTACACAGCTGTGGCCAGTGGGTGTGTGAAGTATGTAGCTGTCTCCCTCTGTTCATTTCTGTGACAGTGATGTAAATATTTTCATTTTTCTCTATCCTTCTTTATTTCTTTTGCATGGCTTTATGTATACCTTTTTATTTTTACTATTTTGGCATTCACTAATTTTCCTGCCAGCTTTGTCCCTTCCTCCTTCCTTAGAACACTTCACTGTTTGCTTCTGAAGTCTGCTAATTAAACCATCCTCCTGTTTTCTTGTGAATCCTGGGGAGAGAGGCATTTTTTTTTTCTCCCAAGGGAAACTGAAAACAAGACAGAAGTCTTAAGTAGCTGCTATGTAAACATGATAAGACTAACAGAACAGACTTCATTGGCCTTTGTAGGAGATGAAAGCAGAAAGAAGCCATGTATGCCTGCCCAGGCCCTGGCCTTGTAGACTCCTCTTTATCAACCCTAGCACAGGGTGAGGAAAAGGAGGATTTCCCTCCCGGAAAGGAAGTTCTCCAATGGAACACTGGGGCAAACACTTGCTCTTACAGGCCTAGAGGACCCAAGGAGGAATGGGGAAAGCCCTGAAAAGATTTGTGCTTAAAAGGAGAGTCTGCAAGTGATTCTCAAGAACTTTATTATCTCATTGGATAAAGCATGTCCCCAGCTCGACAATAAGTACTAGCAGTAGCATGGGGCAAGGAAATCTGCCCTTCTGACTGTGGGTAAGTACTATGCAAGCCCTCTGCTCTGTGATGCTTCGGAAGTCATCTACCATCCTCTTCACCCTTGTCTCCTCTCCCCATCATTGATCCAACTTTCATACTTACTATCTCTTGTCAGAGTCTCCTTCCTCACACTGCTGCTGGTCCTACCCCCCCCCCCCCCAGAATAAGCAAGAACTAGCCATGCTAGTCACTAGCCTGAAAACTCTTGGTGGTTGGCCTCAGTCCCCAGGATAAACTTGGGCTCTTTATGGTGGTCATCAAGACCTTCCCCATGTGGTTCTCCACACTCCTCCTCAGCCTCATGTCCTGCTGCCCGCTTCCTCATTGGTTTCCAGCTGTTCTGCACACATGGCAAATGCTTGAAGGCTTCTGTACGTTTCTCATGCTTTTTGCTCTTCTGTTTTGGATATTTCCTCACACAGAACGTTGGAAAAAGACCAATATCAACTGTCAAAATCACTGCCCATTGGAAACCATTGCTTTTTCCTCAGCACCAAGTTGTTTACTAAAACCTACACAATACAAATAACACATTTACATGTGCAGTCCAATGCAATTGTAGTATGAACCACATATATTATTTGTAAAATTTTGGATTAGAAAAAGTTACAGGAATCATATAATCATAAAATATACTTTACTTGACCCAATCTATCAAAAATATGACTGCAATATTGTATTATTGTTCTCCAGAGAAACAGAACCAATATATACACTATATATACATATACATATATAAACTGTTTCTATATAATGCTATATATTTTATATATTATATATATGTGTGTGTAGAGAAGCATGTGTCTCAGTTATATTGTAAAGACAGAAGGAAGATGATGTTCTAGTCCAAAGGTGGCTATGTGTACAATATTTCCATCCCTACCTAGATGCTGTGTGTTGAATTCCTAGCCCTTAATGTAATGATATGAGCAGGTGGAGCCTTTGGCAGGACATTAGTGACTGATGGGTGCCATTTTAAAAGAGGACCCAGAGAGCTCACTGGCCCCTTCCAGCATCTGAGTGCACAGCAGGAAGATAGCTGTTTGTGAGTAAGGAAGCAGGCCCCGACCACTCAGTCTTCCAATGCCTTGATTTTGGACTTCAGAGACTTCAGAACTAGAAGAAACATTTCTGTTGTTTGTGGAGTGCCCAGTGCATGGTGCTCCAATACAAGAGTCTGAATGTGAAATAAAGGCATAAGACAGAGAGAGTTGCCCCCTACATCCAGAGGGTTAAATTTGGTGGTTTATTCAGGCTGAATGTATTGATAAGGGCCCACCTCATTATGGAAGGCATGTGCTTTACTTATTGTAGTCATTTTAAGTGCTAATTTTATTCTAAAACACTCTTGCAGAGACACTCAGGTTGTCTAAACATGAACCAGGCCACCACATGGCCCCGTTAACTGACATATAGAATTAACAGCCGTGATGGTTTGAATGAGAATAGCCCTCATAGACTCATACACTGCAGTATTTGGTCCCCAATACACAGAACTGTTTGAGAAGGATTATGAGGTGTGGCCTTGTTGGAGGAGGTGTCACTGGGGCAGGCTTTCAGCCTTCAAAAGACTCTATTCCCAGCGTTCCTCACTCTCTGCTTTCTACTTTCAGGGATCAAGATATGAGCTCTCAGCTGTTCCTGTCACCAGGCCTTGGACCCACCATCATGGGCTCTAACCCTCTGAAACTGTAAGCCCAATTAAATGCTTTGTTTTGTAAGTTTCTTTGGTCATAGTATTTTGTCATAGCAATAGGGAAGTAACTAAGACACAATCACAAATATGTAATCAGTGTAAAACTTAGTGAATGAACTACATTGCTAGAACTCAGTAGTAACTGTATAGGCAGTTAGCATTATAGTACATGTGATTATAGATTGTCTTTTTGTTTGTTTCTTTGAGACAGGGTTTCTCTCTGGAGCCTTGGTTGTCCTGGAACTTGCTCTGTGAACCAGCCTGGCCTCAAACTCACAGAGATCTGCTTGCCTCTGCCTCCTGAGTGCTGGGATGAATGGCGTGCGCCATCACCTGACATATATTGGCTTTCTTATTCACTATCTATATAGTTATATACACATGTACACACACAGCATGGATGTATGTGCACACATGCATATGAATGATAAGATCTCTCTGTGTTACCTGTGCTGGCCTTGAAACAATGATTCTTTTGTTTCAACTTCCCAAGTAGTAGGGATTAAAGGTTTACATCACCATGCTAAGACAGCTCAGTTCCTTGAGGGGACTCTTATTCAGTTTTGGACATCTGACACACTTTATCCCAGGTATAGAACATAGAAACTGAGGAAATATATAGTGATTGGTTTTTCAAAGACTTGGAAATCTATAGGTGTTGGGCCTACAAATAAACCTTCTTTTTACATTTTTGTTAAATTCCTTGGGTTTCAAGGAAGCTATACAATGATGCTCAATAATTGCCTTGCATCAGTTGTCCAAGGGCCACTAAGGTGATCCATATTAGGAATAGTCCAGAAGAAAGATTAGTTTTGTTGTTCAAATTCAGTTCTTTTATAATTAGCAGAATAGTTTAACTGCATTATTTTTTAGAGTGATTGGATTGCAATTGTACACATATTGGGTATCTTTGGTCAAGATGCTGACTTAGATAAATCAACCATGTTTGTATGATCTAATCAATCATAGACCATTTCCATAAATGTGCTTGGGAAGCTGAAATGGAAAAGGTTAGCAAATCCAGTCCTGGCTAGTGTCTTCTCTGATGTTCTGAATCGTATGTACTTCTTACCACATAATGTGTAAAGGTGATCCCATGATACTGGGTCACCATGGAAACCTGATGGCTAACTGAGAACTGTGGCTGTATACCGCTGGCACAGAGCCTGCTCCTTAATCCCACCATTACAGCACTCTCAGTCTACCAGGGACAAAGTCTACAGAACGGATGAAATTACTGAATACAAAGTACTGTCATGAGCATGTCATGTTCTGTAAACACCAGCTATTCTTTCCAGAGGATTATTTAATGGCTCAAAATATAATTAATGGCTCCTTTAAAAAGATTATCTAAAATACATATTTTAAAAAAAGTGTGTGTGTGTGTGTGTGTGTGTGTGTGTGTGTGTGTGTGTGTGTGTGTAGCTACCTGTGCACCATGCTGCATTTGTAGAGGTCAGAGGACAACTTTTGGTAATTGGCCCTCTCTGTCTCTCTCTACCATAGGATATCATATTTGCTTGGGAAGCACTTTTACTACTGAACCCATCTCACTAGCCCAATGATCTAAACCACACAGTTTGGAAGCTCTCGGGTAAAAGAAAATCATCCCTTGTTTCTTTCCCCTAGAAGATGACATCTAGTTTGAACTTGTATCTATTACTATGGTTACCTTCATGGGTTATACATAACTGAACCTGTCATACCATCCATCCATCTATTCAAAAATAGGTATTAAGCCATTACTGCAGTCATTTGTACTATGATTCATATTGGTCATAGAAACTATTCCTTCTAATATTTTATAAGGTGTCTGCTACTTCAACATATAGGCAAGAGCATACATTTTTTTCTCCCATGCTATATAAGAAAATGTAGTTGTAATCAAAAGAAGATTTACTAAGAAGAAGAAACTGTAGCTCCTTTCTCTTTTCTACACTGAAGAAACTTCTAGATGCCAAGAGCAGAAACAGATGGGGAATTGATAGTCAGTCCCCAGCCTTGTGGGGCAGTCTGGCTTCTGGAATTGTGTTATTTGTCAAAAGACTCAACAGAGCCGGGGAAGGGAAGAGGCAACATGGAATAAAAAGGTCTCATTTCTGGCTATTTAAAAACTAACCATTCAAGTTCAGCTCATCTATTTGTGTGGTGTGTTTCAGATTCTTCTTGCCTGTGGAGTTAGACATCAATAATATGAGTGAAACTTGAGGCTTGATCAGTTGGAAACAAAGTCTAATGCTGATGGAGTGTGAAGTACCCTTAGCAGACACTCCCCACCTGCTTTACACACTGAGGAGGACCCCACAGTGTGTGTGTGTGTGTGTGTGTGTGTGTGTGTGTGTGTGTGTGTGTGTGTGACTTATTTTTGCTTTTCTTCTGGACTTCTCACCTGAGTTGTGTCTTTCCAAGCAGGATTGGTTGCCCCCACTGGTTCTGTGACTGAGCACAATGACATGGCTAGATAAACAACGATATCCCTTCTTTTTTCATCCTTTATACTTTTCAATGGTTAATATGCAGACCTCATCAAATTCAACGTCCCATTTACCACTGAGACATTTTTAGTTGATTTGATCAATGGCGATTTGTTTTGGCTTTTTTCAAATCTTAAACAGGGAAGGGATAATTGTAATGACGTATTGGATGTGATCAGTTTAAAATTATGTACCAGATCAGTGGATGGAATCATTAAGTTGGGCAAGTTGGGAAAGCATAAAAGACAAGGCAGCTTTTATTTGGAGGCCTGTTTTTACTTAGGTAATTAGCAGCATATCAACTAGCCTTGTGGTCATTTAAGTACCAAACACAGCAGCCATTTGTCCACAATTGTAGAAAATCTAGTATCAAAAGTTGCATGTTCCTCAACAATTAAGGTAAGTGAGAGTGATTTTTTTCCCTGATAAGTTAAACACTTAGTTTATGATAGACTACTGGATTCCTTTAAATCAAACCTCCTCAAAGTTCCCAGTTCTGTTCTCCAGGGAATAATTCAAATATCGTTGCAATTGAAGTGATGTTCTTGTCATTTAGTGAGGCAGAGGTGGTGGTGTTTGACTTTCTCAATACCCAACAGTCCTGCACAAATACATTGTCTCTCATCGTGCCCTGTTCCAGAGGCCCAGTAGCATGCTCTAAGTCCTAAGACCTTATGGTGGTTAGAGTTAGAGAGAATGCTTTAGGAGATGACTGAGTTCAGATGGTCTCATTAGAGGGGTCCCTAACCATGTATGATGGGTGTCCTTGTAAGAAGAAGGGATTAGAACTTGTTCAGAGAAACATCAGGGTATCCAGGAGAGAGAGAGAGAGAGAGAGAGAGAGAGAGAGAGAGAGAGAGAGAGAGAGACAGAGACAGAGACAGAGACAGAGACAGAGACACAGAGAGACATAGACAGAGACAGAGAGAGAGACAGAGAGAGACAGAGAGAGACAGAGAGAGATATGACTATTAGGACAGATGGCATGGTAGCCATTCACAAGCCAATGATAAAGGCCTCAGAAGAAACTGCACCTGTCAACGTCTTGATCTGGAGACTTCCAGCCTCCAGAACTGTGAGAATTTTTTTCTTTTGTGGTTTAAGCCAGCCTTGGTATTTTGTTATGAATACCCCAGGGAACCAATATAGCTTTGTTTTTGGAAAGTCATAGCAATGATGCTCAGGCTGCTTCTGACATTTATTTCTCCATCACAACACATTTGTAGCCCTGTCTCCATGGTGACTCCACATATAGTAGAAGCATCTTTGCTATGAGCATTTATCTCATGGTATTCATACTATTTTCTTATAAACTATATTTTCCATTGAAGCTTATTAGGCTAGTATGTGGTTTTGGAAATTGTACATACAAGGAATTTACAGTACCTGCACATTTGAATCCAGAGCATAAAGAAGACATTTCAAAATATTTCTGATGAACTGAAGCTATTGGATTGGCTTGATGTTGAGAAGCAGGGCTTTGGATTGGTTTGAGAAGAGGAGAGTTTAAGCTAGGTTTCATTTTGCATGCTAAAAGGAAACCGCCTTCTTATTGAAACCAGGGATTCTTCGACTTAGGTGCACGCTGTGAAGAAGTTGATACCTGGTGGTCACACTGAAGAATTCTTTAGTTGGGGTCTGGCCCAAGCATCAGGACCTACAGAAAGCTCCTTGGGTGATTTGAATGTGTGCACAGGGCTTACCACACTCTGCAGGCTTCAAGGATGCTTGGGAATTCTTTGATCGTCCTTTTAATAAAAGGCAGATGTAATTGCCCTTGAATATAGGGCAGCCTAATGACTCATTGCTAACCCATAGGAAGCAGTGGGAGTGTCCCTTGAGACTTTCAAAGCTAGGGACTGAAAAGCAGACACTGGGGATTCTGCTCTGCCTCTCTGCCTTCTGTGTAGCTTGCCCTCTATCTCGAAGCCTCTCTGAGCAACTAGGAAAGAGAGCAGCCTACGTGAAAGCTGTCATCTGGGTGGACTTGTGTCTTGAGGCAATGTGCAGATAGAAGATGTCGTCCAACAAGTGCCAGCTGCCCCACTCCCAGATGCTTTACCCTGCCCAGGCACCACTTGTTTCAGTGGGTAAAGCTTTGGGATGACCCCAGACAGATGCTGAGAGAGCATTGCCTCGAGGAGCCCTCTCCTCTGAGTGATAGTTTGTGTTGGTGGTTGTATGAAATCGCCGGGGTAGCTCATTACATGATGGCGGAAAGCTTGAGCCGATTCTTCTAACGGAAGGCTCACTGACATGTGCAAAGCTCCTTCTTTGATGGAATGCAACTTTCCCTGTACTCTCCTCACTTTCCCTGGATCACATTGCAGTGGAGGCATCTTCTCTTCCCTAGAGCCGAACCACCGACTCTCCTGGGTTCATGCCTCCCATGGATTTTCGTTCTTAAGCTCTCTTTATTTTTAACCCGCTAAGGGAAGGAGAAATGATTATCAGCTCAATACTGAAAAGTACTGGTAAATCTAGTAAAAAGGGCTGTACTGAAGAGTTACATTGCATATGAAGACACAGGAGTAGAGAGTCTTGTATTTTTACTTCCTGATTAGTCCATACTTTACACTCTGCATTTCCAAGCATTTAGACTGACTTATACATCAAGATGAGTCCAAACAGGTCCAAGGTTAGGCAGAGAAAACTGGAGTATCACCTCTGTCATTTCACGGCAAGCAGACAGACCTGACAGACCTGATGCTGCTGCTCATCACCGTTTCCAGTGCAGCCAGGGAGACAGGGAAGTGCAGTCCTGGTCCACAGGCAGCCCCGAGAGTCCTGACTCAACCCTGTTAGCAGAACCCGGGCAGCCAGCCAAGCATCATAAACGCTTTACGTGGCCCTCTCTTGAAGGGTCAACTGGAAGACAGATGCACGGATGATATAACCCTGGATGCATCTTGCCTTGCTCGAAAGCCCGTTTCTATGCCAACTCCATTTACTTTCTTCTCAAGTGGTGGTCCTGTGCAGTGACCTTCATTGATGTGCAGTAAAAACCAAGGCGAGGTTGGATGTAGCAGGAGTTTAGGATTTGCGATTTCCTAAAAGTGTTTTCTTTCATATTTCTTTGCTGCATCCTTTTGATAGAAATCCCTGGGTGTGTAAGATCAGGATCACTTATACTGTTTCTGGGTGTTGGGAGAGCCACAGACTGGAAAGCCCACCATAGTTTTCTCATAGAGTTAGAAAGCACCAGGCTAGGAGACTGCTGGTCTCCAGTCTCCCAAGGAGGTGTTTGTAGATGTAACCAACCGTCTTATTAAATAAGAAACACAGAGCCGATTCAGAGAAGAAAGCCAAGAGGTCAGAGCTAAGAGCCTCACCCTTCCTGCTTCAATGATCCTCTTCAGCCAAGAGAGCGCTCCGAAAAGGACCTACTTCCTGTGTGTATGTCTTTATAGTCTTTCTGTTCTGCCTTCTCATTGGTTGTAAACCCAAACATATGACTGCCTCGTCACTGCCTGTATGTACCACCCTCCAGGTCCTTAAAGGCGTGTGCCACCACCGCCACGCACTTGCTATGGCTCTAATAGCTCTGACCCCCAGGCAACTTTATTTATTAACATACAATTAAAATCACATTTCAGTACAAGTAAAATACCAGCACAGGTGTTTGTAGGGAACAAGACAGGGCGGTGGCTATCTTTGCAAGGGACTGAGATGGTTTTCTCTGGGTTGAGTGTGAAGCAGGGTATCTGGAGAGTCAAAACCTATAAGGTGGAGGGAATTTAAGATCCATGGAGTCTGCAAACTGCAGGGAGGGTAGGAGTATTTTTATAGGACTTTCTGAGCTGGAAGAAGTAGGACCATATACTGGTTAGTTTTTGTTGTCCGCTTGACACAAACTAGAGTCACCTTGTGGGAGAGACCCTCAACTGAGGAATGGCCTCCACGAGATTGGTCTGTGTGGCTTGTCTGTACGGTGTTTTCCTTTCTGTTTTCTTTTTCGTTTTTTGGCTTTTTAAAAAAAGTTTATTTATATTTATTTATTTATTTTACTTCCAACCAAAGTTTCCCTCCCCTCCTTCCAATTTCTCCTCCCTGCCTCCCCTTTAGCCCTCCCCCACCCTCCCACTTTCCTCCCTGTTTCTCTTCAGATACAGGTGGATGG